ATTTCTTTGAATAATGTGAGAACTAGCAAATATAAATTGAAGTGTTGTAGTATCTATGATTCAACCCCCATTCTAAAACAAAGAGATAGTGATAATGGAAAAGTTATGAATCTGCTTGAAACTTCATACTTAAGCAAGAATTCTCACATATCACTGTCTCACAGATAATTTGATTTAATTTATATTTAAATATGTGGAAGTATTTTAACATTAATCTAATATTATTTAATTATTAGGTAATGATGTTGCAAGAGAGACAAATGTTGTGGCTAGAGAGCATAATTGACGCATTTATAGTGCAGAAGATGTTTTCAAGGAGTTATTGAGAATGAGACTTTCATCAAATATGACATTTGAGGCTTCTAGCTTCATTTTATCTGATCCGATAACAATAGAGATTTTTTTGGATGTCAAGAAACCATGCGCGAAGAATGATTATATTAGAAAATGGACAGCAATAATTGATTTATTTGGTTTAGGCTTAGAACATGTTGATTTTAAGTTTTTTAAGTTTATATATGAATAAAAACATTTGAAATTTTTTTAGTTTATTTTTTAAGAATAACGATCACATTGTAAGTTTTAATTTTGTAAAGTTCATTTGATTAAATTATTTATTTTTATGTGATTGAAATTATTGCCTGATACTAAAATATTATATTATTAATAATATAATATCCTATAAATTATTAAGGGCATAATAGTAAAATGTTATACTCTCCTTTCATTTCTCGTGAACATGTAATACATTTTAATTTCAAGAATTTGAAATCATTTTGGTTCCAAACGTAATCAGGAATTCGAAATCATTTCCATAATTTAAAATTCTGTAATTTGAAATAATTTCCTACCAATTTCATATGTCAAACGTAGCCAAGCCCACTGTTTGGAACCTACGATTTGGAGGGATTTCAAAATCTTAACCAATTTTGGAATCATTTCACTTGTTTGGATAGATAAAGGAAAAAGAATTTGAAATCACGGACAATTTCAAATCCTGTTTTTGGTTAAAATATTTTCCGGATTTTGGAGGATTTTAGGTTTAAACATAACGAATTCCGATTTCGTCCTACTTTGGTGGAAAAAAATACTTCACTCTAACCTCTAGTTTTGTACATCCTCAACCAAATTAGTTTCAAGTTTTGATTTATCGTAGCTTTTTCTTTCTTTTTTTTAATTCTAATAACTATAAACTGATTCTTTTTTCTACCATTCAAATAAACTAATGTTGATTTTCTATTTTGTTTTTGGTGTACTTAATTTTTCTTATATCTCAATATATGTTTTTTTTTTATATTTTCTTCTTTTATTCTTTTGCTTTTATTTTTTAGTACTGCATATCATAAAATAACTATGATAAAAGAAAAACACACGAGTAAGTTAAAATTGTTTGATTTTGAGTTTTGTTTTTAATATTTTAATAAAAATATTTGCAATTTTTTTTATTTTAGTTTTTAACATAAATGTGACATTGACAAGTTTTAATTTTTGTTAGGTTGATTTCAATAAATTATTTATGTTTTACATGTTAAAATTACTAGTTTATATTAAAATATTATATTATTAATAATATAATACTCTACAAAATATTAAGGACATAATAGTAAAATGTTGTACTTTTTTTTTCATTTCTGGTGAAGATCAAAACAATAAATTTTAATTTCAATGATTTAGAATTACGTTGGTTCTCACTCTTTTATTAATTCAATTGACCCCAGCGCCGAGTCTGAGTTTGGCTGAGGTTGAATCCACTTTTTATTCTTTTCTCTTTTCTAACTTATTCTAAGTCTAAAAACTCTAAAAAAAAAGAAGGGGAAGGGGATTAGTCAATTGTTTTTCTAATCTTCTTCGCCCCTTCCCAAGTCAATAACTTGAATTAAAAAAATGGGAATACCAACGCATCTGGGAATAAACGATTGATCTTTGTTAATAGACCGGCTAAAGACCCGAATCATATAGTACTTACTATCGGTGCTACAGAGAGATATGTTTTTAGATATCGTAACGCAATTAAGAATTTAAAATCGTTTCCATTATTGAAAATCATGGAATTCGAAATCATTTCCTACCAATTCCCGATGCGTAAAGGATCTAGGCCATAGAAACTGATATTTTTTCCTTCGTGATTAATCTTCTATCATTTGTTTGGTTTTTCTTGGATTCTGCTGCACACTATAAGAAGTAAGACAGACTTATTTGATAACGGTGTCGTTTGTTGTTTTTTGTGTCGTGTTCCTTCTTTCTATATTTTTTAAAATTCCACCCAGCAACAGCAATTGGTGTAGACCGGAGACGCCCTGCTTGAGCTTCAGAGAGAGCATATGGCGACTGAACTGGAAGAATTGCTACACTTTCTATCTTCGCCCTCGCCTCAAGTAAGTCCCTTTAGGCCTCAACTATCCTTTGTTGTTAGCGTGAAGAAATTGTTACAGAGTAAAAGGGAACGGATTAAGAATTTTTTCATAGATTCGTTCGTATTTGGTCGATTTGTTGGCGCAATGGAGCATACGGTTCTGTGTATCTTACGAAACGGACAAATTTAAGCCCAATCCAAGATTTTGGAAGTTCTCTGTGCAGCGTCTTGCTAATTTAGTTTGCGTGTAATTAACTAGGTTTTAGAAATTTCTTGGTGACGGCCTAACACTTGTATGCTGTATAGGTGAGGAAAGCGGCCATTGATATTGTTCAAGGTTTAACTGGGTCTGAGGATGGGTTGCAGTCTCTTGCTAAGTACCCGAAGGTCCTGCTACCATCATTAGCTCGACTCTTGAGAGAACAAAAGGTGCTCTTTAATCTATCTTCCTCTTTATGGATAGAAGGTGATCAACTCTGTATGTATTATTATTTATATCATATAGGACGGAAGAGTTTTAATTGAAAATTTTCATTTGTCCCGAACGTGAATATAAGAAAACAACACACCCCTAGAGCTTAGTTGGCAAGGGCTTGGGGTCTCTAGTTATACTGGTTCAGAGGTTTCAAGTTTGAACCTTCCCGGTGAGCTTAGTACCAAAAATCCTTGATGTCTCCCGGGTTCGGGCCTTGGGGTGGGTGCGGGTGCCTCTGGGTTTAAGGGAGCAAAACTCCGACTCCCACTTATAAAAAAATAGAAAGGCGCTTAGAGAGTTTTATTGATAATGCTGTCATAATAAATCTCAATCACTCTGTCATGAGGTTGCTGCTAATTAGGATTTAAAGATAACTAGTGCTTCACTTTACAGCAATTTAGCGTCCAAATTTCATCTACTTCATTTGCATCATCAGGAAGGTGGGTTTCAAGTCTTAATATGGACTGCCATGAATGGGCTTATATCATGCGATTTCTGTAACTATCAGAAGACCTATTTGGATATAAATAATTTAAAGAACCAGGCCATCCAATACTAGTATAATTCAAGATATTTGGCAAATGTGAATAATTGAACATGAATAATTTTGATGATATATTTTGTTCTATCATATTAGGATGTGGCAGAACGAGCAGCAGAAGCTCTTGTAAATCTTTCACAAAATTCTGATCTAGCTGCCAAGATGATAGACTTGGGACTAGTTGCAGCAGCTATGGATCTTTTATATAATGTTGACTCCAGCATTAGCCAGTTGCTGTTAATGCTTCTGGTTAATCTAACTCAGTTGGATGCTGGTATTGCTTCGTTACTTCAGGTGTGCCTATACATAGTTACAGTGGCGTTGTCTTTGGTTGAAATTTGTAAAAGAGCTATTTTTATTGAAATTTGTATGAGATAGTTGGAAAGCTCTATTTTAAACATTCCATTAGGCATTAGCAATTAGATTAGACCTTTATAATCTTTACCAAATAAGAAAATACTTGTTATGGTTATTGATTCTGCTTCATAGACTGGAGATGACAAGATGCAAGGTCTCTATGTTATGAAGATTGTTAGATCATTTTGTAGATCGTCAAGTGAACCCACTGGTATGTTTTGCTTCTTCTCTACTTCAGTTTGCTTTGAAGGTTATGTTATTTTTCTAGAATCTTGGACTCCATATGCTATAACTTAATTTTTAAATACTTGGGATTGCAAGGTTCTTAGGTAATCTTTGTTTCTTCTAAGATCTTCTCATGCAGTGTTTTACCTACTTAGTTTGATACGCTTGGTAAATGAGTTTATAAGTTCTTTGGCCTTTCTAGAAAAAGATTGTGATGCCACAATGCCAGATCCTTTGTAGCCTTGACCTAACCCCTACAAACATTGATGCTAAAACACAACATTGAATTTCTGTCTTTTTGAGTTTATGAATTTTGGACGTTAGCGACAGAGTTCATTGTTCATCTAACATTTTAAATTGATTCTCTTCTAGATGATCCCTTTGAGCATGTTGCTTCCATACTTGTAAACATATCAAAGCAGGAATCTGGAAGGAAGCTTTTACTTGATCCCAAGCGGGGACTTTTGAAGCAGATAATTAGGCAGTGTGATTCAACTAGTCAACTACGGAAGAAAGGGGTAAGTCCAACGTAGCCCACTTTTTCTTTGATCCGTGACTGCTTTGAAAGGAATTTGAGATACAGATAAAATCTTGCTACTTACGTTCATCATTTATATTTCAAATTTAAAAAAAAAAAAAAATTTGTTGTCTTGCATATGCTCACCATATATATTTCATGTTTAATTTATTTTTGTTGTTCTTATTGAAATTATCTTCATTGGGCAAGAGCCAAGAATTGGCCAAATAATTTGCCTCTCCCAAGACTTGTCCAGCTGGGGGTTTCGAAAGGATAAAGTTCTCGGGCCTTTGGATAGGTCTGCCTCTTTCACCACCAAATAATGTTCAGGCCAAGCAAAGTGCTCCATTCCTCTCTTCTTGAAGCTATTTAGAAGTTTAACTACCCAAAAAACATCAAGATCTTTCTCTGGTCAGTGGCTCACAGAGGTCTAAATACCCAAGGGAAAATTCAGAGGAAATGTCGGAACTGGGGGCTCCACTGCTCTTTTGCCCATAGATGCTGGTCTTTTCTTTCAATATCTTTGACTTAAATGTTTGCCTTCCCAAGAAAATTGATGACAGGCTGATAGAAGCTCTAGCGGGTGGCCTTCTTAAAAATCTCTCTAAGTTCTTTGGAAACTCGCAACGATAGCTTTACTTTGGAACTTAGGGCTAGAAAGAAATCCCAGATCCTTTGAGAACATTACATTTACTTTACCTTCTTTTTGGAGAGCATTGTACAGCTCACAGCTTCTAGGTGGTGCTATACTTATAACAAATTCTTTTATACTTACTCTCTCTAAGATCTTTCACAATTGGGAGGACTTCTTGTGTTAGTTCTTTGGGAGGGGGTTATCTCATCCCCTGCCCCTAGGTTGTTCTTTTTTTGAGTAATAAAATCCCAGGTTTCTTATAATAATAATAAAAAAAATCCATTGATGGCCTAGGAAGCACAAATTTCTAAAGGGCTAGAATTTTCATTAGAATGGGAATATCCGAATATGCCATATTCCTTGAGACATGCATTGGAGATGCCAAATTAGGTGTTCAATTTTTCTTATTAATTTGTTATTATCATCATTGTCTAAGTTTGGACATGGGGGGATACTATGTGGTTCAGTTCGTATTTTGGATAAATTATACTTTTGGTTCCTGTGTTTTTAGCCTTTGGTCCCTACATTTCAAGGTTGATGTTTAATATTTAAGTTTTGAGGAAATAGTTAGTGATAGGTCATGCTGTTAGTTTTTCATTAACTACAGTAACAAAAAAACATACTTTTTAGAATTAATTTTATAATATCAATGATGTTGCTCCAAAACATGGAATATTTTCTTTAGAAGAGGGATTAATGACGAGGAAATGTCTGAATATTGCAATTTTCTAGATATAATAGAAGGAAAATCTCCTTCGAGAGAGGAGGATAGCAGATGCTTCAAGCGGGTTTTCTGTCAATTCTTTGGTCAGAGTTGGGGGTGTTTCTTCCTCACCAAAATCTGCATTTCTGCCTTATAGAAGTACTAAAATTATAAGGAAAAAAAATCTTGACTTGTTCCTTTTTCTACAAAAGCTAAACACATTGGATAAAGGACAAAGGGAATGCCTGAATTAGGCTTCCTCCGTGTTGAGGGAGAAGACATCCATCTTTCATTTTTTCACTGTCTATACAGTGAGTGTATTTGGAGGTCACTGTTTCATCTTTGTTATTGCTTGTGGGTCATCAAATTGAAGGCTAAGAAAGAATAATATATTTGCTTTTCTTTGTGGTCATGGCTTTAGAGGAAGAGCAAGAACCCTTTTGGTCAATCTTAATAAACCTACAATCTTTTAAAGAGGATTTTTTTTTTATAAATTTATAAAAAATGTGCTCCATGGAAGAAAATGCAACTTCTTGGTGTGTTCTCTATAATTTCTTTCTTCAAAATTATTCTATCACTGAGCTAAACTCTAACTGGAAAGCTTTTTGTTTTTTATTTGAAGGGGTTTTTTTGTTTGGATTTATCAAAGAAAGATTAGTATCTTGTAATTTTGAAGGTTAGTATCTCATAATTTTAAAGGTTGTTTGATTGTTGCAATTTCTCATACTAATTTTAAAGGTTAGTATCTTTTTCCCTTTGCACTCCATAGTGGAGAACCATGCAACAGCTTGAGCCCAGCCCGCAGTTGTGACCCATGCAGTTGCTCCAGCTACCCCAGGTTTTAAATGTTTTGTTTTAGACTTGGTAGCTCCAGTTGTAA